CATATAATTTGTGTTGTGTTTTTTTAATAAGCTCAATCACTAAATCCCACTCAAGGATTATACAGTGTAATAAATCTCTATTTTCCTAACATCTGTAATACCATTATGAAATTGTATTACTTTTTTATTTTAGTTCAAATAGGGAATAGCACAGATGATAAATATCTATTTTTCCAACATCCATAATCGTAAATTGTCAATATCATCATTAAATACAGCACCAAATACAAACTAATCACACCGTTAAAAAGTATAATTATGACTTGATTTAAAATTTATAACTTCAACCACTAAAGTTTCCTGTAGCAAACAGGGCTTAATGTTCACTTCCACTACAGGTACATGAAATAAGAGACAAACGAGGAAAAACCAACTTTATCTTTTACATAAAGATTGATTAAATATTGGCAAGATTGGTTTTAAAAGTAATCTTAAAACCCATCTTTTTAGAAACGTTTTCTTTTAAATGTTGATCACGTATTCCTTTTAACTAGTGTTTTTCTTTTAATTGAACATAATGTTACCATAAAGCAGCTTCGGTTTGATTTTAGGACATTATTATTATTATTATTATATTGGCAAGATTGTGTTTTATATTTGATGCAACAGCATTGTTTAGTTTAAGACAATACACATCTTTACTAAGATAATTAAAATGATTAAGAATACACAATTTTCAAACTGTTGTAATTAACACTGACAGCTGTGAAAGTTGATATACTTAAATATATAGTAAACTGTATATCCTTACACACAATGTGTATTCTTTTTAATATGGGTGTGTATTCATTAAATTCCTGTAAATAATATAGATAATGTTATGGAAGTTAATATACATTTTAACTTAGATACAATACACAATGTCTTATCTGTTGTAAATCACACTAGTAAGCTGTGAATATTGACATAACATTAGATAAACACGTGTATAGTTTTTAGAGATGTCTTATGTGTATATTATTAATAAGACATCATGTATATACAGTTATGTCCATCTTGTTTAAATGAAAAATCGTATTCAACCCATAAGTTGAATAGATTAGGGGTTAATGTTTCGTTAAAACAGTATGTAGACCATTTTGAGACTAACATATGGCAGAATCCATTTCTGTGATGTGTGCTATACAAGGAGGAGGAGGTGAATTTTGCCCAGGCAGCAAATTTTCCTACTCTTTTTCAAATTCCAATCTAACTGACTAAGCACGCTTTCCTACAAAATGGTAGGTGTCATCTTTTACAAGGGGTGTTTGGTGGCCGAATGGTTAACCCGTGTGCGTTGCATCATAAGGTCTGTCATTGAGTCAAATGGCGTGGTTTTGATTCCCTGCTTGAACATGAAAAACAGTAGGGTCACCTGTCTAACCTATGGGGTTTTCTCCTATTCGTCCGGTTCCTTCCACTGCTAATTAAAGCCCCCTACACAATAGCGAATTAATGAAATAAAATTGAATCATATGTTTGTTCCGAAATGACCTAGTGAGTGTCAAAAACCCCATTTCTCTTTCTCTCTCTCTTTGTTGCAGAAGAGTAGGACCACATTCCATTTCATTTCCTTTCATGATATTTGAGTGACATGTGAAATGACATTGTTCTGAGGAATTACTTGGCACCACAACTGTAACAGGAGTAAAATGTTATGTATCTATGTCATGACATTCTCTCATCTGAAACCCAGATCTATGAATGAAATAATTAGCTATGATCTCATTGTTTTGATTGTTGTAGGCCACACCAGTTTGAATTTCTGTTTTTCGGGAAGACCTGTAAAATACTTATTTAAACTCTAAAAGTACTTAGTTGCATTGTTCAAAAGCTTTAAGTTTTGAAATTTTAAACAAAATATTTTTCACTTGAGTTATTTATCAAGACTCAGAAGAACAGAAAATCCTATTGGTGTGGCCTTATTTCTGCAAGGGCTGATCTAGTAGGGGGCACAACCAGCGAACGCCCCCCGTCTCCTATTTGGATTTCTGACTGAAAATTCATTATAATTCACTATTTTAGAACCGGATAACCTGGCCTGAACTCCTCGTTGTGGGCTTCGTGCCTTCAGCACTCATACACCCCCTCCCCCCCCCCATCCACAGTATCTGGATCCCCACTTGTTTCTGTGTTAATGATACATTAATTACATGTGAGGGTGTTGCTGTGTTAATGGTGACATATTAAATCAAGTCTGGGTGGTGCTGTGGAAATGAACAAATTTATTTTCATTGTTACGTAACATTGTGATTTTTACTTATCGAAGAGAAATTTGACATAATAAAATTAATTGTCTTAGCTGGTTGGTGAAGTTAGTTTTTCTGACATGGTGTTGAAATTATATCTTTATGTCTCATGGTGGGATAAACAAAAATCTATCTCTTTGAAAAATATATATTTTTGGCATGACATTACAAGAAATGATGTGTTTGGCCATTCATTCCTTCTTTTGTTAAGTCCAACCATAGTTTTAAGATGGAATTATGAGCTTATTTTTATTCTTAAAGGTATATATTTATATTATGTTAAATACTTTTATAAATTACTAAATTCATATTACACCTTCCTAGTCATTAATACATGAGATTGTACACCATCCAAAAGAAGTCATTCATTATTTTGTTAAACTCATCCAAAGTTTTGAGATATAATTATGAGTTTATTTTTTATTCTTATACTTTTATAAATTACTAAATTCATATTACATCTTCCTAGTCATTAATACATGACATTGTACACCATCCCTTCTTTTGTTTGTTGTTTTTGGTGCTGGGGAAATGGTATTGGTATAGACTGAACAATGCAAAGATTAAATAGATATCTCATAATGATAAATGACACATCTCTTGGAGTAATGAGATATATAATTATTTTCTTCATATTATGAAATTAAATATAGAGAACTGAAATACATACCTTGTATAGAAAATAAATGTACAACTTGCATAGAAAATAAATGTATAACTTGTCTATATATCACATGATATAAAACACAAATTTATATGGAAAGCAATCACTGGGTTTATATCACATGGAGAAATAAATACATACTTTGTATAGAAATTAAATATATACTTTGTTTATAAATTAAATACATATATTATAGAGAAATTAAATTTATATCTCAGAGAAAAATTAAATATATATACTCCTAGAGAAATTAAAATCTTTTGTAGAGAAATTAAATATATTTCATACAGAAATTAAATATATTTATAATCATACAGAAATGTAATATATATTTCACAGAGAAATTAAATAAATATAGATCTAAATTGTAGATAATTAAATAATAATATATATGATAATAATAATAATGCTTTATTATTCAACTGCATAATAAATATACAAGAATGGTAAACCATGGTCAATACAATACAATACAATACAGAGATTTATAAAAGTATATTAAATTATATTTATACTGTTTGTAAGGTATATTTAAGCCTTGAGGCTGAAATGTCATATATATTTTAATTATAAAATAGTAATGTTTGCTATGAATGATAATGTCAAGGCTTTTGTCGAAGGAAGAATGGTGTAAATGGCCTATGATGTCAATGACAGGAGTTTTGCTACAAATGGACATAATTTGATTAATGGACAGAATATTTCTTGACCAAATGCTATGGAAAAAAATCAGACAGGAGACTAAAATAATCCAATATTCTAAACTGTAAAGGGTGGAAGAAATCAATAACTCGGCATGGACTATACACAAATTTATTGCTTTGTCTTGGACATCACAAATCTTCTACTAAATACAGCATATCACTCACTTCTATAAAATAGAATGGACCAAACATACTAAAAACTGACCAATACTATTTATATCACAGGCTTGCATAGTGGAATCTTCCAAAAATTATCTGAAGTGTGCAATATTATAACTGACCATAACATAACCCATTCTCCCTTATAATATAAAATGTTGGATTGGTCCAAAAAGGGTTCAAAAGTCAAAATACATGCAACTGACCACAAGTGAGCTTGCCACCCCTTTTGTTGATAGTGAGAATGGTCCAAGAATGACCATCGAGGGCATGTAATAGGGCAGATGGTTGAATGAACATTGCCTCATCACTGGACACTGGTCATTATTATTGGTGTGAGGGTTGTGCAGTTTTATTAAGCCATTCAGTTGACCATTGGCAGTGGCACAAGCAACATGGACCAGCACCTATTCATGTTTTTTAAAACAAGTGATTATTAATTATGATTATGAATTAATTGGTGGTGATTAACAGGATTTTACACAGGACTGGAGAAATTAATTGTTATCCAAAAAAACTTAATTCTTTGGATAAAAACAACATTGGAGTTTTCAAAGCAAATGATTTTTTTATTAGAAATTAATTTTTTGAACAAAAAAGTTATTGGGACAGTTTGTTTATATCCTTGAGAAAAGATAACTGAAAAACATATGGAACTTTTTTTTTCTATATAAAAAAATCCAGATTTTGTGACATTTACAAAAAGGGAGGAATTAAAAGTTATTATGTGAATAACTGACCAGGTTTCATCATAAAATACACAGTGACTTTATCACCATTATTAAATTAATTACATCGGACTGAATTACTTCTGACATTTCAATTCGGCATGCAGAGTTTGAACTAAAATTACTGTTATTTACAAGGAATCGATAGCTGTGACAGAGAGATTATTTTTTGGTGAAAAATAAACATTAATAGTTTTGTTTGTTTATTGAAACGAAAACAAATAATTTATTGATATGTACACTGTACGACATTACTTACGCACATCAATTGATAAGTAGTATTCTGCAGTAAATATTTCTTGTCCTTGTTATTAACCAATCGGATGAAGGATTTTAGCAGTGAATAATAGAAACTTAAGTAGGGGCTGTTTATTCCTGTTCTATTAAACTATTGGATGACGTCGACGTTACAAAATCCAGCATAGCCAACACAATAAACATTTACAACAAAATGCAAAAACAGCAGAAGTGAAATAAAAACTGTTGCGGGCAATCTGACGGAACATTTCAGATTATAAAAATTTACTGATAAACATTTATTAATTGTTCATATCATATTTATTGCTGGAAACTTTTTTTATCTCGACTATGAAAAAGAGATTTGTTTTGAAGCGTATTTCTAAAATTTGCATTTTTGCTATTAGGAAATGGATTATGCCTGAATTTTGATTGGACCAGCTGTTATGAGAGATTGAAAGCAACTTTTGTTGAATATAATTAATAAACATAATCATGTCATTTGATACCCTGGACGGTCCTAGATTCCATAAGTACTCTGGATTCCGGATTTGAATAGTTCCTGCGAAATTATTGGAAATCTCTGAAGATTTTTTAAGGAATTGATGCCATTATTTAGAAGAAATATATACACTGATTTATATTGATTGGATTGATGAGAATTGTGATCACTGGCCGTTGTTTTCATTGACCAGTGTTTTGTGACGACATACTATTGGTCAGCGTCGTGTAATATCGGCACTGACAACAAACTTCCATTCACTGTAATCCATCAGGTTTTTTCTCATGCTGAGTGCCGACCAGCGAGTGGACATGTTCTGTCAAGGTCACACATAGAAAACATTTAAACGTAAACACAATTTATAAGTCGACATAACGCCAGTGAGCTTAAGAATACGTTATTTATAATAGTATAAAAGATGAAAGATATGTCGTCGTATGGGGATACAGAGGTTCTTTGGCCCAGGTATGAAAATAGTCTATTTTTTAATTTTATTTTCAGTTTTTTAAATTTATTTTTCTACATTTTCCAAAAAATACAAATTTTTAAAAAAAAAAATTCCCAAAATTTTTTGCATCTTTTATTCTTGTTGAATTTTATTCCATTTTGGTAATTTTTTAACAATTATACAAAAAAATACAGTTTGGAGAGCATATGGAAGAGTTGTGTTAATTCAAGAGCTAATATTTTTTCATATCACATCCCAGATTAATGTTTTAAAAAGTATTTGACCAGAAACAATAAAAGCACCTTTGAAAAGAGTCAATTGCCTTTCTTGTGACTAATTTTTGTTAATTTTATGGTTTATATACTTGTACATTTATTCTAACTTGCCCCGATAAATATAAGACACTTGAATTTTTTTTTTAATGGAAGGTAGCTGATCGACAAGTATAAGGCACTTGAATTTATTTTGTTAGAAGGTACCTTGACTAATAAATAGAAGGCAATTGAAAAGGTTTTAGAGAAAGATATCACTATGTATAAGACACTTATTTTTTTTAAATAGACTTTATCTGGATTGACAAATTGATGGCACTTGAATTTATTTTATTGTGGAAGGTACCTGATAAAGTGATGTATATAGGGGAAGAACATAAATTGTTTCTCATTTCTGAATTTTGTGGACTCATTACGTTATTCGACCAATGTCCTCATGGTTTGATTTAAAAAAAACAAAAACATTTAGAACAAATTTAAAGCTACATGTATTCAGTTCTTGTCAAAGCACTTTTTTTATGTCCTTGCTCCCTAGTATTTTTTTTAACCTTGCATGGGCTGTAGACAGCTACATGGTAGCTACATGTATCCAGTAACAATATTTTAGACATATTTTCTAAATGCATTATATTAAAATACTATTTAGCACATAAAGATGCATTCAAAGGACTACAGATATTTGCAAAATATATATCGAAAAAAACATAAAGTACACATGTACATGTAATAAAGAATATTATGGGAATAAACATACATTTAAAGGACAATAGTAATCCACATGGACTACAGGATTTTACATGCTTTACTAACTCCTTTAGAAAAAATCAAACCAAGAAGTCACATGTTTCACAGTTTGAGGTTGTGAATTCTAAATAAAAGATTGAGAGTTGAAAATATTGTTTAATGTTCCATGAAAGTGTTTACCAATTTTTAATTTAACAAATAATTAATCAAGTCATGACTAAAATGCATTAGGTATACTATTAAGTTACATATATTAGTCATTTCTATTACTATTTTTAATTAGAAATTAATTAATATAATAATGAAAATTTAGTTTTGAAAAGTTGGAAATAATTTTAATTACATGGTCGAGATGGAATATTAATAATTTAGGATGCCTGACCAATTATTACAATTTGCTTTAAAAAGTGTCTCTGCCATAAATTTCTTTTTGAAATAAAAATCAAAATACAGTAACAACAAGATTGATCAATTTCTGAGGCATTAAATAAATTACTTCTGATAATAAATCATTTTATTCTTTGTCTGATAGGATATACATGTTAATTGCAATAGATTCAGATGTTGAAAACAGTCCAAACCGTTGCTCTGTGCAAGATCACAACATATGTGTTTAGGAAGGGGGGGGGGGGGCGGTTAGTTCACTTTAGACCATTAAAAGCATACCAGAAAGGAGCCAGTTGTGGATGTTTTTATTTTAATATTTTGGTTCAGATCAATAAGTGTATTATGCCACCCTGTACAATTAAAAGTGCATTTTCTATACTATTACTCTAGTTAGCTACAGGTGTTTTAACTGAAGCAAGGTATACTTGCTAATGAACCACCTGATACCACTTTTGTTTTGGGAGGGGTGGGGGTGGGGAAGTTTGCATCACTTTGTAGCTGTCCGTATGATTTCCCACGAAGTCTTTGTATGGAATGAAATTTATATTGTCTCTTAATTAAAACCTCAACATAGCAGAATAAAAGTCAAATATAGAGATAACTCAAGGACACCATCAGAACTACCTTGACTAAGTAGTTTTGGCCATTTAAAGTTTACATTGGTTTCTGGTGATTTTCACACTGCCATCTTTATGTGTCTTGAACTAATATTGTAATAACAATTCTGGCTACAATTTTATACAAGCTAACACATTCTTCTTGGCTAGCATGTAAAAGAACAATTGGCAGTAGTAATTCCAAGTATAGTAAGAGTAGTCCATAATACCACTGCCTGGGCTAAATTTCTCTCGTAGCATACTGCATGGCATATGTCCGGCTTCATTAGCTTAGTTGGTGCAGAACAGGCATTTGAGTGACTTTATAGTGTTTTGAAATAATAAACTAAGTTTATAGAATCATTAAATATATTATTTACATATTAATAGACTTACCATTGCCTGATTAGAATTAATTAATTATTTGTTTTGTGTTGATTATTTTCGAAACATATGTTTGAGAAAGATAACGGCTGTCTGTCAACAGAAGTTTTTATGGAAGAGTACATTGAATTGAATTGAATATTTAATATTGTGGAAAATTTGAATATTGATAATTGTAACAAAAATACCTGGGATCCCAGATCTGGTTTCCCTTTGTTGGTGGTGCCGCATACACGAAAAAAGGTGTATCGTTGGGATGAGCCAAAAAAAAGAAAACGTGGTTCACCAATGTAGCCTAGACAGTTGGAATACAATGATGACTGGGCTTTTTACTTTATCTTTACCTGGTTTCCGCAGGTGAGAAAAAAAACAATTTAAATACAGTTATAAGATCTTACAGAGATAATATTGACGAATCAACAGAATTTACAAAAAAGCTATTAAATACAGTATCAATATGCACCCAACTAGTAAATTATTTTATCAGAATTTAACTATCTAGAAAATGCTATTGTCCATTTATCTCATGAAAAACACATAAAAAGTTCTGAATACATTGTTGTTTTGTGCGACAGCTTTCGAAATAAAGCTTCTTATCTTTTTGCGATTTTTTGTGTGTTTCATTTGGAATATAATTGTAAAGGTGAGTTTGAATGTTTATAGGGAACAATATTGGACGAGAAATGATAAGATATATACATGTATTTAAAATGAATACTTATGGGAACCGTTGATATTATTATAAAAATACAATCTTATTAAAACACGATCCTATTTCGTTTCGTTTTATATATACTGATGTCCAAAAGAAAGTATAGACACTAAAAGTATGACTAAGTTTTGTTTAGATTAAAAACATTTGATAAAGCATTACTGAGTGTGTCTCTTGCGTCCAAACTCAACATTTCTAAGCAAAATAAAAATGTGAAACAAATTGACATTCTACCCAAATACCGTATACCATGGAAAAACGACTTTGGTTGATGCAGCACAAAATGCACAGTGTATCCTTTCTTTTGGACATTAGTATAGTTCAAAAATATGGTTTATTTGTCTTTACTACACACTAGGATCTGGAAGAGTTGTTATATAACCCGCGTTCTGATTGATGTGAGGGATTGGCCAATGAAACAGTCTGTTACGGCGAGTTCTTGGCGTGCTGTGCATGGAACTGTGGGTAATCCAATAGAAACGTCAACGCTGATTGATTTATCGATGTCTGACATCATAGGGTCAAAAGCCACTCGTATACACCCTGATGAGGTGTGTATTCTAATCAGATTGATAAAAAAACAATTTATTCCTATTGTATTATTGTATAAATGATAGAAATATAGTTTAACAGCCTACTAGTAAGGAATATTAATGGGAATCATTGGTATAATTATTAAAAAAAAAACCCATCAGGCCCCAAGTTCATAAAGCATTCTCAGACATAAGTTAAGAATTTACTCAAAATTGTTCGCCTTATTTTAACTAAAATATAGTCCTTTTTTAAATTTTTTGTTGTTTTAATGTATCAAATACATCAATAAGAAACAATGTGCACATTTTTGTGTTTCTGGATCAAAGATATTTCTTATAAAAAAAAAAAATGGCATTGACAAGATGCTATTATTTGGATATCGAGAAAAATCAGATACTTTTGTGTGGCTACAATGTTTCAAGTTTACAACATTGATGCTTGGTAACACGTACATGACACATAGAATTGCACTTGTAAGTAAATATCAATTGTCAAAAAACAAATTTGGGCATCATAATCTTGATAGAGGGCGATGAGAAAAAAGTAATTAGCCCAAAGATACTTTTGCGTAACCACAATGTTCAAGTGTAAAACCTGGTTGCTACATGTAGGTAACACATGGTCCATGTAAAATTGCGATTTTAAGTAAATATAAATTATTAAAAAACTAAATTCTTGGCTATCATAATGTCGATGCAGGGTGATGAGAAAAATCAATGAGCCAAACGTAATTGATTCTCATAGATAACAATTAATATCTCTCTTAATGGTGACTAAAATTACATTATTATTTAATCGGAAACATATGCCACCTAAACCCCTTTTACCTAAAAAGGTCGGTTGTACATAAAGGCTTGGGTCAAATGGTCAGTGAATACATTCATTATAAATATACCATACTATGTAATATGAGATGACCAAACATATGGTCATTTTTTCATCACTGTGAGCTTGATGGTCACTGACCCATGACATAACAGATATGTTCATATTACATAACACCCCTTCTAAAAATGACAGCTCAGGGGCAGATGGTGTATATGTGTTTAAGAGAATTAGATAATATTGTGTAAGATTGAATAATATAAATACATTATGAATACAGATAGATGGTTTGACAATCTCATGTTGACTGGTACTAGATATATTTATAGAGAAGATAAAAATATCATTTTACTTACATGTACATAAATCTTTCGGTTATGTCAGAAATTTTATAATTTGTAATCTGACATTTTTCTAGTACATGTAAATAAACATCTGTGTATTTTCTGGAAAATATCAAATTTTCCACTGGCTTAATCCACACTAAAATGTACTCAAAATTGAATAAAAATATAATTAATTCTTTGGGTTATGTCAGAAAGTATATAATTTGTAATCTGACA